GAACGCAAAAAAAAAGTGTCCAAAGACCTTCAAAATTTTAAAAGAAAGTGGTCTTCAGCAGCTATGAGAGTATCGGACGCTACCATAAAAGCACTAATGGACGGGGTTCCGGAAAAAATAAAAATATTTATTAATAACACATAATTCTTCGTTTATTCTTCACAGCTGGTTTAAAAGATTTTTCATTTTTGTAACGGAGAATTTTATTCGACGCAGTCCTTACTTCCAGGATTTTTGACCATCCGGCTGACTTTGTTCCATATGATTGCGGATTGTATGTGAGATACCTTAATGAAACATTTTTTTATGTGGCATATGGCATGATCATGGTTAACAGATAAAATAGGGTCGATGACAGAATATTAAGCGTAGATTTAACTTTCTAAGCTTGGTTCAAAGAAAGAAATCCATTGATTGTGACATGCGATAAGAAATTACAGTACCTACAAATAACTCATTGCTAACGAAACAAAAGTAGCTTTCGTTCAATAATATTTTTTTATACTGGATTTCTAAAATTTTTTTTTCGAAACTCAAGACTACACTGATGAAATCATGCCATGTTTGATTGATGCTTGCAATGGGAAGCGCTAAAGAAACTAAAGAACACCCGAAACGATTGCACTACGCGATACAATTAACTTTTCCCTGTGTATTAAACCAAAAAAGTATTTTCGAATGTAAACGAATAATTATAGATTCTATATTTTCGAAATTATGGGCACCATTCTTTTTCCACTCATTTACACAGTGTATTCATATTTTCAATTTCAGCTCATGTGACAGATATTAAAAGGTTTCAAACTCACTGGTTCAGAAATATATACTTTTAATTTTTTTCGAATATTCGAATTGACACTTTATAGCATCCGGTATTTTATATACTAGTGGATCCGGCCACACGTTGCTGTGGTATACTTACATTTTATATTGTTATTTATATACTAACTATTCAATACAGTGTAAATTTGATTTACAAATAAAGGCGAAAACTGATTACCAGCCTTTCTGTCCAGTTAATAGAGTTGTCCGCTTAATAGATCGTACTTAATAAACATCAACTAATTGTAGGGCATGCCAATGTACATGGTTAATGGAGATGTCCACTTAATAGGGTATCCATTTAATACAGCTTTCACTGTATATCTCTTTTACTTAGAACTCAATCTTTCGAAAAATTGGCTTGATCGAATACCGTGGACTGTATGGTACATTATTATATTAACTTCAAGAAGTGTATTATGAAGTTGATAATAAACAAAATATTGTAAATTATATATAGCATATAGAAATCCTACTGGATTACCCATTTCTTATAACGGCTAGGTCCTTACCCACTGCGTAACTATTGTGCGGTTTTTATATAAATGAAGTTTGCAACAAGGTTTGTAACACCTGAGACTCTATAAATATATAGAGTATTTATGTATGATCAGCTGGACAAGCTGAGTAAATTTAGCCACACAAGTCTAAATGTTCGTCCCTCTATCAGTTTGCTTACTAGTTTCTCGGGTTATTTGCGATATCAATCTAAAATTTTGCACTCGTCTTTTTCTTTCCAAAAAGCTGCTCATTTGTCGAAAACTCCGGCGTCGGATCACTATACTTCCAACACAAACTGATCGATCAAAATCAAATACTTGTAAGAAAAACTGTTTACTTCATTGCATATAAAAATTTGGCATAAATTAGTTCCAAGATAATGCTACAACTTCGAAATGTTGGGATGGAGTCACTATAGCATCTCGTTGCCAGAAAAACTAGTATTCCAAATAAGCTTTATTTGTGTATATTTTTCATTTGTTGAGATATTTTTATGAAATGGACAATCTCTACTTTTTTAAATGTGTATGTCTATGTAAAATATATTCACATAAAATGGATTTGTCGCACTTACCACTGGGAAACTCGGTCAATATGAGTGATAAACTCATGCTCAAGCAGTTGCAATATGATGATGACTTTATTAGAACCGAATTTACAGCACTTTTGCCGCAACTAAACACTTCGAACAATAATTGCTATTGCTTGCATAACAGCACAAAATTTATTACTTACAAATACAAAACCACACTTATGCACACACTCACACAGATACACAGCTAGCGCTCTCAAGCGACTTTTGCACTGAATATGCACAGCTGCAACATTCGATCGTTTGCGGTCGGCAAGCAGCATAACAACGTCAACAACACAACATGTCAATAAGCAAACAACTTAACGGCAATTTAAAGACTAACGGCGGTTTCCATTGCAAAGAATGCTTCACTGCAGCGCCATTAACCCAGTTTCGTTGGCACAAGCAAGAGTACGCGTGTGTGAGTGTTCGAAATTAAGTTCACTTTGTAGTTCAAACAAACTGGGAAGCAGCTCGTCTCACACTAACGGCATATTTGATCAATTTCATCAACTTCAATATTGTGTCTGGCAATTCAAAATGAATTTGTGTAGAATTAATTGGCATTCTGTGCAAATACTCGTATCATGCAATAAATTAGCACTGCACTCGAATCTGCACTTAGTGCAGCAAATCAGCACACAAATAACAGTTTATTCGCTTAACTTCTAGTTCTGCTGCTTACACTGAGTCAATTTGCTCATCAATTTTGCAAGGAACGCTGTGCTGTCAGGCCGCCAGTCTTATCGCCAACACGGGTTTATCGCACTGATTGCTCAGCGAGCAGCCGACGACAACTGGGGGCTTACAGCGCAGCATGTTTTATGTCATCGAATCCATGTTTGCAATCGTTTTTTTTTCTTTCTTTCTTGTATTGGCTGTTGTCAGCGGCAGCGCCAACTGCTTACAGCCGAAAGAAGCACCCAAAATCAGCCTTCAGTGCACAGCGGGCAACTGGCTTTATTGCACACCAGTTATTGCCATTTGCGCACACACACATATGTACCGATGTGTATGTAGATATTTTGGTTTCTATGTGTATGTGTGTACTTTTTGTCTCTATATGTGTGTTTGTGAGCGGTTGTATCGACTGGAGGCAATAACTATCGCTATTTCCGACAGCCGTTTTCATTTGCCATTTTAAAACGATTACCTTCGGCTTCCTTGCCACATAGCCTCGGCATTGATTGCCACGTGTTTATTGCCACTAATTTGCTTTGTTTGCTTTTGGGCGCACACGCTTACGCTCAAAGCCATTTCCTTGCTCACGTTCTCCTTTTGTTTGATTATTTGCTATTTGCTTGCCTAACTTCCAATTTTGTTATTAATGGTGTCGCCGTCAGCTATCTAGGTTCCCCTTTGTCTAATGCCTTTTTCGATTTCAGACACGGAAATTTATATTACAGTTAATTTATCCCATTTTCTATTGCTTTTCTTCAGGAAAATAAAAAAATAGAAAAAAATGGACCAGCAATTCCATAAATTTTCCAGTCGAAGTCTCCCTTCGTTAGGTTATACAAGCAGGCAATACAATAGCTAGACTCTCAGCAGGTAATTCGGTTAACGTCTTTTGTTTACCCGGTAATATGGAAATGGAAGGAAATGAAGAGACAGGGGAAGTGGCCAGCTCGGGCACAACTGAAGGCATAATTCCCCTAAGATTCCCAAAGCCATTCAGCTCCTTCAAGAGTTCTTTGAAGCAATGAACCCTAAAGGAATACGCAGGTATTGGCACACAAACAAGAGTTGATGGAGGAAAGAGTAAATAGCTCCTACTTCTGATTAAAAGGAGTATACTCACATCGTAGGGGCCATCCCAGGGCACTTTTTCTTTGAATGCCATCTTCAGAAAATGGGAAAAATGAAGTTGGCGGATTTCAGAACATTCACAGAGAATGATGAAACGCTGGAACATTATACATATGAATGACCATCCTTCGGTCATATGAGACGGTGCATTTTCCAAGGGTCCCAATGCTCCACTGAGTTGCTTGGTAAGGCTTAAATTGGAGCACATTGGGCCTCACACTGGCCTAAGAGTGGTCGTTAGCGCTCTGACACTTGCGGGCTTCTCATCTCAACCAACCAAGCATTGGAAAATTTTACCTAGTACAATATATCTTTCATTGATATATCAAACTCAAGATGCAATTAAAGTGTGACATTATTTTTATTTGAGTTTTTAAGATTTATTTTTCTTGAATTTAGTTGCTTCTTTTAGTGAGTTTCCTAGCTCAGTTTTATTTTGTAGTTCTTAAGTTTCAATCTCAGATATTTCAATGAGTAATTTACACTTTATCAGTACAAATATTATTTTGACCAGGAATCAAGACTAGAGTAACTACGGATTGCTGTACCGCAGAGCTTGCTTGCATTTCAAAGAAAATGTCGAAGTGACCGTGGCTTCTAATGCATAGATTAATAAATGACAGGTCTTAAAATTAATCCATCTAATGCTTGACACGATCTTTCAATACCTTGTTCTTCCGGCAAGATGCTTGCTGCGTTTGTTGTAAGAAAAAATATAAAGATAATAATACCGCTACACCTATACCTAGGCCCTATGTTTGACCAAGTACCACGAAATTTCCTATTCGCTTAATATTCTTGTGAGAATATCCGACAGGTTTATTTCACTATAATTTTTTGCCAGAAAGCTTAAGAATGTACATATTTTAGCTTCCACGTTGATCATGGAGGACATCCAGGGAGAACTTTTCCAATCTTATAATTGTCGGAGGGCGATGGGTTATATGTATGTTCTCGAGCTTTATCAGCTGAACTCGAGGGCATCATCGACACGTCTGGTGAACTCTTTTTATGTGCTGTGTTATGGGTGGGATCTATGGGTGTGCATGTCTACAGTGGCATTATGAAAATATAATTATTTATGCCACCACTGTACCATGTAAGTGCCGATAATGTAGTGATCCTGGCAACATACAACTCTGCGCAGTCGGCTGACTTACAGTGTGAGTGAAACAGCTGATGTGCATTTCAGGAGATGGAGAAATTTTTTAGGGCGAATATTAATTAATTCCAAATAAAGCATATAGCTAAGCTTGATAAGGTATTTAATTTTTATTATTGACCAGATTTATAATTATAATATATGAATTTTATTATACATATCTTGTCAAATCGGTTAGTGGTTATTCCTTAATAAATCTGACTTTTCGCACCCAACAAAAACGTAAAACTAAATCCAGTAAAAATCCGGATTTCGCACCTTTTCATTGTTTAGAGATTAAAATGAAGGGCAAAGTAAAGAGCTAGCCCTATATTATTGAAATTTGTTATGATTGCAGGTAAATTTTCATCTCATTCTATTCTTCCATAATTTTCTACTGAATACATTTCTAGAACGCTTAGAAAACCCGATGCTATCCATCTACCTGCATGATCTGCTACATAAGCCGCTCGCTTACTGAAGGTAGCGTCAGTTCAATTCATACTGCAGTTATAGTGCGCTTCACAAGCTTAATGAATAAATATTAAATTCAAAGAAAAAAATTCTAAAAATCTAAAGACTAAATAATAAAATTCAAAGAAAAAAATTCTTAAATTAAAAAAATGTCAACGCAGTGTCGCTTTGAACGATGCGGGTGGTCCGGTTCTGTGAACGATATTTTTTCGCACTGCGAAGCCGTACACCCGAAGTATATACGTGAACATAAGGGCAAAAATTACTATGACTTCGATTTCGATGACATCTCGACAGATGCATTTCTGCTCTGCGGTCCGAGTGGCGTCTACTGGTTCTGCACGTGTGAAAGTGCAAATACTCCAGAAGAAATAAATCGCGGCGTCTTTCATATAGGAGATTCAGAGCCGATCACTTACACCATTAAGTTTGGACTCAATCGTGACGGGCTTGCCGAATATCTCGGACCATTTACATCGCATAGTGCAGAGACCTCTCAAACCTACGATGTGGAATTGGCTTACGATTACATACAGTATCTCTGTGAAGAGATAGATTCGCGTAAGATGCGTTTGTATGTTGGTGAATTTGATGATAGCGAAGATGTGTTCGCGCCGACGTGGGAGGATCTCACCTTTAACGAGGAGGATGAGGAATTGAATAAAGAATGCGTTGAGCATTTCACATGTGTCGTATGTTATGAGTTTATTAAACGCGACATACGTTTCTGCGAGAATACACATTATGTGTGTCTGAAATGTTTTGAGGGCATGCAGGAACGCGGCAAATTGCGTTGTCCTATATGTCGCACCGACTATCCATATGATTGTAGTGATCCGGATCTGGAACGGTTTTTGCGCATGGTCAGATTTCCCGATTATGTAAGACAACAACGTGGGGATGAGGAACACGAGAATGCAGCAGGTCCAGAAGAGAAGAGGCCACGCGTTGAAGGATAATGCTTCAGAAACAGAAGCATAATATAAAAACGAGAGAGTTGCCTTTACCTTTATTAATTTATATATAATTTAAATTATTACCTTTGACGTAACTTAAAATAATAAAACAATTATTTATTGACTTAAATAAATCGATCAAATTTAAACTAAAATGTGTATGTTATTTGACCTAACCTTCAAGTGGAGGTACTTTTTTCAATAGCATTTTATGCCAGATCATGCCTGTGTCGTGTCAATCTGTCATGCCATTTTTGTTCAGTATTGTTTGGCATTTCATCACGAAAGACTTACGCCTTAACAATGTTTACAATGTTTAACTTTATTACGAAAATTCACTTTCTGTAAAGAATGTGTTTCGCGCGCTTGCTTCTACTTATGGTCACCATACTCGTCCTATTGAGCGTACTATTTTTTAATGGATAATATTCTACCGAATAGACCACGTCCAACTCGCAGTGAAATCTATAATATATAGCAGCCAAAGCTGAGAATGTACACGAAGATCGTGAATAGTCGATTCCGCGCCGTTCGCAGCAACTCGGACTGACGTATGGAAGTACTTAGCGCATTTTACGTCTACATTACTTCCCAAGCGACATCGCTTTGTTCTTTGGGCTCTTGAAAAGTTGCAAGGAGATTCGACATTTTCAAGCCCAATTTTGTTCAGCGATGAGGCCCATTTTTCACTGAATGGATATATAAACAAACGTCCCGCTTTAGGGATGAAGATCATCCAGAAAAGATTCAAAAGCTTCCATTTCATTCATAAAAAAACAACGCTTTGGTGTGGTTTGTTGGCCCGTGGAATCGTTGGCCCATATTTCTTCAAAAATAATGCCTGTTATCCCGCCATGATAACCGACTATTGGGTGCTTAAAGTTAAAGCTCGTGATCTCGGCGACATTTTATTTCAAATAAACGGCGCCACTTCCCACACATCGCATCAATCAATAGATTTATTGAGAGAACACCTACGCCAGTCTATTGGCCACCAAGATCATGTGATATCACACCGCTAGGACTTTTTCCTGTGGGGATGTGTAAAGTCTAAAGTTTATGCCTTGGAGCAGTCGAAATGCTCGAACGACCATTTGAGACGCAGCCGCGGCCAACCTTTGAAAGAGATAATCTTCTTTTTCTGTCTTTAGAATGACAATAAACATTCCCAATTAAATTTGAAGCTTCTGTATTTTTTCTTTAAAAAAGTATAGAACCTCGAAATGGATCAAAGCGCCAAATTTTTTTCATAAAAAATGGTGTTAAAAGTTCAGAATCCTAAACCAATATCTACCGATTCACACCATCGATAGATACTGGTTAGGGATTTTGAATTACTTAACACCATTTTTCGTTCAAAATAAGTTGGCGCTACCAAAACGCAGCTTGATGAGTTTCAACCGGACTCGAAACACCCATTCTGTTGAGGTTTTCTCGATTCCATACAGATCACATAAGCACCAAATCTATGGTATTCCAAAATACGCCCTTGAAGGTGAAAATATCACAAAACCTTTAAAATGATTTAACTAACGCAGGAGAAGGTGGTCGAGCAAATGTGACTCTAAAACTTTCAAGAGTAGAGACAAATCTGGGCTGACAATCGGCCGATTTACCATTTCACAAATTAATGAGAACGATCAAAAAATTGCACGAAATGTGTCACGAAAGGTTTTCGAAACCAAACCTGGTCCATGACGACTTTTTTATTTTTTGTTACCGTCGATAGAAACGTAAACCTTGAACCAGATTTATTGAGATCTGTTGATCAAATGCAATATCAACCACTCTTTCCAAAACAACCGAGTACTTATGGGGGAAGAATGGTACGCTTGACCAACTCAAGTTTTATTTCAACCAATAAACAAAGAATATACAATACAATAATGCAATTCGAAAAACTTACCCGTAGAACTCGTTGCCATTTGTGTTAATACTAGACTTTCGCTTGTGACATTTATGTAACAACAATATTACGAATTTTCCTTTTACATATAATTATTTAACTCTACTCTTTAAATTTACTTCTCCGCAGGATATTCGCTATTTCGCACACTATCCACACAATCACAAAATTTGTAATGAAATTTATCCAAATTCATGCAACTCAAAACACACTGGCGTTTGCCTGAGCCTTGTTCGATTCACTCGCGGAGTAGAAGAGCGAAACGCTTGACCGTTGCATGCGATTTTACTTAGTCACCTTAAATAATTTGCTTTTGCCGAAATTGTCGTTGGACTTTGATTAAACACCAGTTGGCTAGATAAAGAAATTAAAGAAAAAACTTAAAATTGAAAGATAGACAATTTGAAACGAAAATTTTGTATTCAAGTCTGACAATTTCAATATTGAAATTTATTGTTTGTAAATTTGAAGTTGTTTGAGTTTAATTGCTGAATTTATTTGCTTTTATAAAAAGCAAAGTAAAGTGTTATTTTGAATTCTTGTAATGTACTAAGATGAGATTAAATGTCAGTGATCAACTGATTTTTGCATGAAATTGGATTTGGACGGCTTTGATGGGTTTTTAATAGCAAATATCAATAATTAAGCTTGTTTGTTTCTAAACTCTAAATGTCATATATTTATTTAAATATTTTGAATCCAGAAAGTGCGGTACCAGCCCATTCTGCTAAAGCTTCCACCTTATCTTCATAAATATCTATTGCATCGTTGGTTGGTTAAGGATAGCGAACTCTGCCTCAGTTTTGAATTAGTTCAAAACTAACTCTTGCTTAGTCGCTTTTCGTTATTCGTGTCATTCAACTCGCTACAATTCTGACATATTGAAAAAATTAAGCATATGTCAATGCCTCGTACATCTAATGCCAGCGAAATGCGGAGGTAACACAAATCCACAATTTTTTTGTTCAAAATTATGACAAAAAAGTACGCAGAAATTGTAAATAAAACGTAAAATATTTAATAATTCTTCAATAATTATTTTGTCGCCTTCAAAGTAATTCCCACCAGATGAAATACACCTATGTCAACGATTTTTCCAGTCCTCAAACACTTTTCATAAGCACTTTATGCGATGGCCTCCAGCTCCTTCAGTGAATTGTATTTTATTATTATTATTATTATTATTATTATTATTATTATTATTATTATTATTATTATATCGCACGGATTATGATCGTGTAAAATCCATGAATGGTTCTTCCAAGACGGGACGTTCTCAGGCAAATGCCTGAATACGGCCAAATAGAACTCATTATTGATCGTCTATTCCGGCGGAACAAATTCATGGTGCACCAAACATGAATATTGAGAATAACAATGAGCATCACCTCGAGTTTCTATCATTTGGTGTGGGTTTTTTGGTTTCGAATCCTTTTTTCCCACCATTCCGTTGATTGTTCACTTGTTAGCATGTTAAACTAATATCTCATCGGCAGTTACAATGCTCTCCATGAAAGTGGGTTCGGAATTCGCACGATCAAGCAAGTCCAAAGAGATCTGTGTACGATACTCTTTTTGAAAACACAAGGCTACTAGTGGTACAAAACTTTAAAGACGGTCGAGAGATCGTTGAAGATATGCCTTATTCTGGACGACCTTCGACCTCTTCAGCTGATGAAAAATACTAAAAGAGTGATGGATATGATGCTTGAAAATCGTCAGACAAGTGTTTGAGAGATGGAAAGAGAGCTCGAACTCAAACCAACACTCGCTAGGAACATAGATGTAAAGCAACAACAGAAAAAAGCAAACATTTTTCCAAAATATGATTGCGAGTTTGCTACCTTAGTATCCTAAAATAAGCTCATTCAAATATGAACCGAGTTGAGCTTTCTTTTACCACTCGCTTATAAAATGCCTTATGAATAATTTACTCTCATAAGAGGGTTTTTCTTTGCGTTAGCCAAAGTTCAATGAATTCCTATGCAGCTACGCACCTGAAAGTAGCTATATTTTACAACTAACTTTCCCATTCTGTAGCAGTTATACTACTTTCCTACAAACATATGTAACTATCTATCCTCGCATATGCCATGCAATGCGATGCGAGTACCACTATTATGCACCATACTCGTACTCGTATGCGATGTGGCACCCTTTGAAGTTTGTTGGCGGAGAGCGCAAAATCAAAGTGGCGGCTTCATTAAAACAGAAAACAATAAATCGTGGCACATGTATCATGCCACTGAACTGCATAAATAAGCGCCACACACGTACACCATGCCATGCATGCGTTGATGTGGCATGCACCAGTGCCAGTTGCCAGCTGCAGGTAGTTCATTCTATGCGCTTGGTCTTCGTGCTTCGCGCTGTGGCAGCAAAAAAGGATAACTAACAGCGGCCAGTGCTTTGTTGTTGGCATTCGCGGTGAAAAGTCATGACTGGCAGCGCGAAAGAAAGCAAACGGCAAGCGTGGCACACATTTGTATTTTCCATCTTTCGTTGTGTGTGCGCACAACTTGCCGCGGCTGCCTCTGTGCGAGAGCTCACGGTTGGCCGTCAGTTGGTGATTTACCTGTGAATCATGTCGGGAATAGCGCAGAAATTTACGTTGCACGCGGCAAAGCCGCTTAAATGCAAAACTACCTGCATGCCACCGCTGCGCTTTGCTTTTTTACGCGCCGCACATCCTTATATGGGTTCTTTTATTTCGCACAATTCCACTGGCTTATGTTTATTTCGCAGGGGTGTAAATTTTCTAGAAAGTAATTTGCAACCGGCAACTTGCAACAACGTGCTGCAAGGTACATAAATTTCGAATGGCTCAAGATAAATGCCACATTTTTATTGTTGTTATGTTGTATGCTTCAATACTTTTTGTTAGCAGCGCTAAACTTTTAGCTTTGAAGCGCGTGGTGCCACGAACCCACGAACCACAGAACAAATTTCTCTTATCTTTTGCTTTAAATTAGTGGTTTAAATGGGTAAAGAAATAATAGAAAGAAATCTAAGGCATATTTCGTATATTTTATTTCGAAAAAAAAAACTTTTATATATTTTGTGTTTCCCCTTTTTTCTTCTTTTAGCTTGATACTCTAAACCCAGCGGATCTCCAACTTTCGTCTGAAAATTGCTTGAGATTTTACTGGATCTTCAAATTTGACCTTCCGCATAGAAGAACCTTATTTTCTTCCGCATTGGAACTACAGAGCTTTCTGACCATTTTTATTTATCTTGGAGTTAATTTAGATCATATCTTGGTCACCTTACAGACTGATAAGGTACTTTTCACATTCTTCAGAGCAGGTTGTGAAGCTCTTGTTTCAATTGTTACTGGATTTTTTATTGACGATCATAAAGCCACACAAAACTCCACCGGATTGTGCTTAAACGGCACTACTATGAAACGATTTGGGGGTTGCGCTAGCTTTCCCAAATGAGCTAATGCCATACCCATCACGCCGACATATTTCTCATGCCCAATACTTTGACCAGGATATAACCAATGTGGTCTTTTGAGTTCCTTACTTTTTTTGCGATACCGCGCCACTGCAATCGGTTCACTGTCAAAACGAGATAGAGGAGTTTTGTCACATTACTTTCTGTGGTACACATTTTGAAGGCACTTGGGCGTGGCTCATCAAAAACTCCTTAACCGAGGCTTTGACGTTCATAATCGTATGACTATATACAGCATCCAAGCAGGAATTGAATAACAGACTAATTTCCTTATAATTTTTTTCTTGACAATGACGAATTACGAGTATATACTAAGATAGTTGATTTTTCTTACAACAGGAGCACCATCAGGCGGTGAGACTAGGTACTTTTCGAACAGTAATTTGGGATAAACACAGTCCTCACAACTTTCCATATAATATCTGATATATGGCAACTCTTTTCTAAAAATTAATAATCGGTCCACATTTTTCGTCTCTGCTTAGGAAGGATTGGAGGGGGAATCTTTTTCTAAGGAACTCTCTGTTAATCTTAGCTTTAGCTACCGCACCACTGTAGTATTTTTCAGGCAGAACTGGCTGCTATCAAGGTGGCGGCAGACGTACTGCTACGAAGTGCAGCCTCTTTCTAATCTAACTTTGGAAAGAAAATATGTCTAGTTCCATCCTAAAATAATTTTGTGCTTGCTTAGGGAATAGTGCGCGATGGCAAATTACAAGAATGTCAAGTATTCGAAGGTCAGACTATGTATTAAGTGATTTAGATATCAAGATCGAGAAAGGCTAATTCAAGAAAATGACGTGTTTCAAATGCAAATAATTTATTTCCTATTGACCCGTTTCGGATATGTATTTCGCATCGGAACTTCTATGAAGTTTCTATTTATAGATGAAGCCGTTGTGTTGCTATTTTTGACTCGTCACCGTTGACTTGACTGCATTGGCACTTCCGTCAGAACTTCAATGCACAGTTATTCAAGTTGGAGTCAACAAAGAAAGGATATTAGAAAACAATCAAAATCAAAATTAAACCCAATGAACATCTGGTTTACAATTGTGATGAAGATAGTTGAACTCCCTCAAACACTGATGCATAAATATTGATTCAAAATAGTAAAATATATACATAAATTATTTCTAAGAAAAAAAATTTTTAAAACATTTCTAATGAAACAACTAACCTTGCAAAACTACTAGAAACTACTCAAAATAACCTAAAAGTAAAAAAATCGGTAAAAGGGAATTTTAATATGAATGTTCATAGAAAGATACCGGAATATTAGAAATATATCAGAATGTTAGAAATACTGATTACGACAGTTACGTAACGTTACTTTCTTTTGGCGTGTGTTGGACAGAAGCTAACATGACGTCATGTGCGAAAGTTCAGAGTTTATTTCGTTTATGTCATAGCGTTTTCTAATCTTTCCTCTATAACTTTGAGATAGACAGATAAATATATATAGAGAAGATTGACGAGAAATCGGGGGATACAAATTTGTTTGTAATATGATTATACAACAAATCCTTTCTACAACTTGACAGCTGATGGCATTAAAAGCGAATATGACAGTAAAATATTGGTGACAAATTTCAGTTTTTCTCCCTTACAACGGTGTTTTTGTCGCTAAAAAATTAATAAATAAATACGATTTACTGAAAATAGAATACGCAATAAACAAAACCAATAAAATCCAACGACGCAAAGCAAATCTCCATTGCTAACTCGATTATCATATTCCCAATTACATATGTGCATATGTATGTGTATGCAAGTGGTACATAATAAATCCCATCAAGTCCATATCAAACAGGCAAAACAAGATCGAACTGAATTTATGCTATGCAAATACTTACATACATACATATGTACCGTCATATTCATGCAACAACACTCGTGCGCTTATTGGAGGAGCTTTCAACGCTTGGGCTCTTTTTCATATTTGTCCTGCTGTCGAGTGACAGCACTGACAGCTGTTCAAAAAGTAAGGACTTACAGGCAGATAGCTTTTTTACATTTGGACACGTGTCATACACATGCCACTGCTGTTATATTTATGTTTGGCCGAATGTGTTTGCATAGTTCAACGGTTATTGCAACACAAATAGAAAAACTACCTACATTTCTTTGAAAGCAGTTTAAAAAGTCAGTGAATTTTTAGTTTAGCGTTATATTTTTGGAGGAAGAATTTGATAACATATTCTTCTTGTACCTACAAGTTTGGTTACACTGGCCTTACATAGACCTATAGCACCTTTTAAACGCTAGATGCAGGTTTATTATTAATACAGCCTCAAGTACACATCGAACAGAACGTCAATGTGTTTCGCGAAAATTAATAGAAACTTGATATCTACTTCTGATACTTCCTCCAGTGACTTAAACTGCAAAGCTCTTAGGTATCTAAGCCGAGCTTTAGATACGGCCAGAAATAAGCAGGTGTTCCAGCGTCTCTCTTATGCCTACTTTCCTGCACTTACGTCGTTAATCATGCCCGTATGGTCCGCATTGAATGCCAGTAAGTCGTGACCTGTGCCTGCATGCCCCTAAGACACTCCATCTCACCCTGATCCGCCTATCAGGATTTCGTTGTACACCGTTCATAGCGACTTTCGTATTTCCTGTTGTTGTTGTAAGAATTACATAAGTTGTCGTCGGTTTCGCAAGGTCACTCTCATTCGCGGCAACCCAAGCTCTTCGTCTGGAATGGAGTCGGTGAAGGAACTGATAGCTTCAGTGTGAATGGTCAGTGCTGAAGAATGGCCTCTTGATGCTCCCAGGAGGTAGTTCCACTCCAAGCAGGTGACTGCAGGGTTGATTTCTACGAAAGAACTCCAACAGAAACTGCTTAAAGAGGAGTCCATTATGATCCTTAATTAGAAGCATTCGGACCTCACTATGCAGATGTTCGATGGGATACATCAACAAGCTCCTGTCGTAATTCGTATTTCCTGAACTTTCTACGCCAGTAAAGACGAAAAGGATTAGGTCGGAAAACGGTTATGAGAATTTATATCGTAAAGAAGTTGCTTTTTTCTGCCGATCTGTTACAAAGCTGAGACTAATAAGACGTCTAGTGCAGTAAACTTTTCTTCCTGAGCTTACTACCAGCTGTCCTTAAGAAAATGCCCACCGATCTAATCATTGTACTAAGCTTTGTCGATGTCATTTCTGTCCTCGTTTTTTACAGTTTCAAATAGAATACCTAAATATTCGAAATCACAAAAGCAGCTTAATTCCAGGTAATTAATCGCAGCCCCCCTAAATTTCCACGAAACCCTATTGTGCATAATGAACTCGATTAAGCAAATCGCCATTGACGCTGTTTGATCGATACCGGCAAATGGGTGGAAATGGGCGAGTCAAAGCGACTGCCATTTCGATACATGTCGAGCTCGTTAACTAAACAACAAACTGAGGCGAACCAGACGACGACAACAAACAATAACAAAGCGAAAAGCGTCGCATAGCGTCACAGCGACTTTTGTGCTGGCATTTCGTATCCCTGCCGTTGCATTCATTTTAAGGACTAAGTGTGCGTCATCACGTGGAACTCAAAACGAGTAATTCATTATTAATTTAGACGCGCAATTTTGAGCTTATTAGCCCCCACCCTCCTGTTAATTGTGTGGGAATATTCGCAAAGTTGCAATAATTTATTTTCAAATTGAAGTTTTGAGCCAATGTCCATGCTGAAAGACTAATTTCGATTTTGTTCCACTATAATTACAGATAGTTAACTAGGACACACCTGTTGCCTGCAGCCTTTAACGCGGAAGTTGCCACATTGCGTTCAAACTCGCAACACACTCAGCCGCCTATTGACAATAAATTTTGAGGTTAACATTTTAGCGAACAACACCGTCAGCTTTAAGCCTCACAGAGGTAAACCGGAATTGATAACTGTGCGTTTGACATTTTTACTGCCACAGCACCGCCGCACGTGCAAAACTCCTCGCATTGTCACTCGTGGTGTCAGCCGCTAGTCGTCATTCAACGAAATGGGTCGCAAAATTACTGTAGCCGTGTCGACGCTCAACCAATGGGCGCTTGACTTTGAAGGCAATCTGGCGCGCATACTGCAATCCATCTTAGAGGCGAAGGATATGGGCGCCTCATACCGCACCGGACCCGAATTGGAAATAACGTAAGTCCACGCTTGTCTCACACCACTACATTCCAGAAATCTCTAATATTTTTTTTTTTAATTTTTTTGTTGTAGTGGTTACAGCTGCGAGGATCACTTTTTCGAACCCGACACATATCTGCACTCTTGGGAAGTGCTGCTGGAAATTATGCTCTCGCCGCTCTGGTAAGCTCTTTCTATACAAACTCCAACAAGCAACTCTTAACGAAGTCTCTTTTGTAGCGAAAACATGCTCATCGATGTCGGTATGCCGGTTATGCACCGCAATGTTGCCTACAATTGTCGCGTTGCCTTCTTCAATCGTCAAATATTGCTGATACGTCCGAAAATGGCGATGGCCGATGATGACAACTATCGGGAATCGCGTTGGTTCACTTCCTGGACAAAGGTGGGTTACATTTCAACCATTTCAATTTAAACAATAAATTCCAGTTCGGTCCAAAAACCGATCTCATGTCTTCTTATTTTTAAAAGTTTTACTCAATTTTCCCCAAATTAATGTTTTATCTTCCTGCTCTCTTAGTCTCTTCAAACAGAGGAGCATTATTTGCCACGCATGATTTCTCAACACACCGGACAGACGGCGGTGCCATTCGGTGATGCCGTTATCGCTACTAAAGACACATGCATCGGCTATGAGATTTGCGAAGAATTATGGAATGTTCGCAGGTAAGATTTAAGTTTATACAAAATTGGGTTCATAGGTGTGCCTTAAATTATTTAGTTCTTTTCAAAAAAAGAAAGTGGCAGATTTGAGTGGAGTAACAGTATAAAGCCCAGAAGCAGAAAGCAGATGGTTTATAGAAGATATGATAAGTCGTTACATCTTCTTTTAAACTGCGAACGGAACCCGATACAAAGATTTTCGGACCTTTGCAACCAGATCGTCCATGAAATCAGGCACAATATCTTCAACATTCTTTAAAAATATGTGAAAAGTTTTTTCTGCGGCTAAAAAAAGCGTAAAGCTGTTCTGGTTCACAACCACACCCGGAAACCTTCAAGAAAAAATCATTAAGAATTCGCCACAACAACCATCTTCTTCTTGATTAGTCGTCGTTCTTCCTTTTCGCTGCTTGGCACCAAATGGGGATACCAAGCGAAGCCAGTTCCTTCACCACCTGGTCTTTCCAACGAAATGGAGGACTTCCTCTGCTTTCCCCCGGGGGCATGCATCGAATACCTTCAGAGATGGAGTGTTTTCGTCCATTTGGGCGCCATGACCTAGACAGCGTATACAGCTCACCGCTCCATCGAATGCGGTATTCGATTGGGAAATCGGGTTCGCCTTCTTCAGTGCCATTCTGCAAGCTGGAGAAGTCTTCCCTGCAAAGTTTTAATATGCTCTGGGCGTCAGTCACTAGATCATCTCTGGGTGTTCTACAAGAGTACAACAAACTCAGGCTACAAAAAAGTGAGCAACTCTTTTGGATGAAATTCTTACTCCATGAACCCTACATATATTTTACTCTAAATCCCATCCAGCCACTTAGTTTGATATTGCTAGCTATCATTTCTAGGGAATTATGTATCGTCTCCTATGGTTCTGTGGGGAGACAAGGAGTGATGAATACAAATGAGCCCTGCAGAGCCAAGCTCATAAAGGGCACTCCGATACCGTGACCACCCAGTCCTTAGTCCTTAAAAGCATTAATATTTAGAATAGTTTAGGACATACATATGTCAGTTTCAGAACTTCACCGGCTCTTCTAACAAAAGTTTACCTTTCAACAAGATTTCGATCGCTGAGCGGTTAAGTATCAGGTTTAAATATGGATCGAAAACCCACAATTGCCATTCACTTAGTAAAGCTTAAGCTTAGGCTTAGACATAGGATTCTTCAAGAAGAAACCGTGTCCTGACTAAGAAAAAGTTAGCAACTTGATAAGAAATCAGAGTCTAATAAAGTACATCAATTAGCTTGTACAAGAATGCTGTGATATTCTATATCCTTGGAGGATTTAACTCTGAAATTCTCTCTGCATCAACTTCTAATCCCAAAGTACCCATCATCCGCTAATATAAACTCTTCCATCCAACTTTTAGTAAACATATCGATATGTCACTCTCGGGTGTCGAAATTATTGTCAATGGCTCGGGATCGTACATGGAACTGCGCAAGGCGCACATTAGCACCGATCTAATACGTAATGCCAGCTTCAAGGCAGGCGGTGCCTATCTCTTCAGCAATTTGCGCGGCTGCGACGGACAACGTGTCTACTTTAATGGCTGCTCGGCGATAGCCATGAATGGCGAAATTGTGGCACGTAGCAAGCAATTTGCGCTACAGGATGTTGTAAGTCTTCTTACTACTTCTTGATTTCTATTGCATATATACTAGAAAAAAATTTGTCTTGTCTTGCAGGAAGTCACTTTAGCTACCATTGATTTGGAAGAGATCCGCTCGTATCGAGTGTCGCAACGTTCACGCTGCACATTTTCCGCCTCGGCGCCCAACTATCCGCGCATCAACTGCGACTTTGAGATGTCAACGCACAACGACATCTTCAAGAGCTCCTCCACGCCAATGCAATGGATCTATCATACACCCGAAGAGGAAATTGCGATGGGTCCCGCCTGCTGGTTGTGGGACTATTTACGCCGCTCGGGTCAAGGTGGTTTCTTTCTGCCGCTCAGCGGTGGTGTTGACTCCAGCAGCTCTGCCACCATTGTCTACTCCATGTGTCGCATGATCGTGAATGCGGTGCAAGGCGGTGATGCGCAAGTGCTCCACGACATACGTAAAATCTTAGCTGACTCCGATTATACACCGGATAATCCGGCAACCCTGTGCAATCGCTTGCTCGTCACCTGCTTTATGGGCAGCGTGAACTCCAGCAAGGAGACGCATCGTCGCGCCACACAGTTGGCCCATCAATTGGGCAGCTATCACATCGAAATCAGCATCGACACTGCCGTAAATGCCCTATTGGGTATCTTCAATGCGGTCACCGGTCTGTCGCCGCGCTTTCGTACTCAGGGCGGTTGTGCGCGTCAAAATCTCGCTCTGCAGAATATTCAATCACGCATACGCATGGTCTTGGCCTATATGTTTGCGCAACTGATGTTGTGGGTGCGCAATCGGCCTGGTGGTCTGCTGGTGCTCGGCTCGGCGAATGTCGACGAAGCGCTGCGTGGTTATATGACGAAATATGATTGCTCGTCGGCGGATGTGAATCCCATCGGCGGCATTTCGAAAACTGACTTGCGTCGTTTTCTCAACTATGCGAAGGAGAAATTCAAATTAACCGTATTGGAGTCAATTATCGAAGCACCACCCACTGCGGAATTGGAGCCGCTGCAGGATGGTCAGCTCGTGCAAACCGACGAGCAAGATATGGGCATGACCTATGCAGAGCTCAGTGAGTATGGTCGCTTGCGCAAACAAGCCAGTTGTGGGCCGTACAGTATGTTCTGTAAGTTGGTGGCCACTTGGCGTGACGACATGAGTCCGAAAGAGGTACGAATTTGATATATATATATATATATATTTTTTTTTTTATTCTAAATAATTTCTGCTAATTGCATTCTCTAACGTTTTACCGTTTAGGTCGCCGACAAAGTGAAGCACTTCTTCCGCTGCTACGCCATCAATCGCCATAAAATGACTGTGCTCACCCCATCAGTGCACGCCGAAAGCTACAGTCCGGACGACAACCGCTTCGATCATCGTCCCTTCTTGTATCGCGCCAACTGGAGTTGGCAATTCAAGGCAATCGACGATGAGGTGGAAAAGCTACAACCCGGCTACACACCCTCCGCACAGCATATGCATCCGAGTAGCGCTGATATGGTGTCGCACGAGTCTCTACATCGTTCCTCGCATCGCTCATCCCACTTGGAATCGAAGAACTCATCGCCATTGTCGTGTTCTTCCATCGATGCTGCTGGTGCCGGCGGTATTGGTGCTGGACCCAGCGGCAGCATGGGCACATTGGGCAAAAAGTCCAGCGGCTATTCGAAGGTGCATGTGAATGTGCTCGGTAAAATTAAGGATCGCACTGGTATACCGGTTTAGGACATGTGGTTCGAGGAATGGTGTTTCGAAGTTTGTGTCACTGCGAAACTGTTGAATCGGTAGTGCATGTAGTGGAATTTTGAAAGCGGTGAGAAGGAAAAATTAACGCATCCTGCTTTTTTAGTAGTTTTAGTACACTGCTTAAGTTTGATTAGTTACTATAATGTCAGAATTTGTTCCTTAATTCATACATATTTTCCTTTTGAAATTGTTGTTCGGTGTTAATTTGTTTACAAAACAATTAACTAATTTCCTTAATTAACTAATTTACCTCAATTTTCTTAATATGTTCCTTTAATATATATTTATATTTATTTTAAGTCAAATTGTTGTTGTTATCACAGATTTTAAACTGTATTACGTTCAAAATTTTGTTATTAAAATTTGGTTTTGGTTTTCTAATTAATTAATAAAATTTCCTCACTACTTTTAATGTTTGAAATAAGTGTCAACATTTAATTTATTTATTTATTCTTTTATTTTATTTACTAACAATATTGAATTTCCCGGATACCTACAATTCTTTATCTCAACAAAATTAGTTCAAATGGTTACCCAAGTCCTGATTTGAGGTGAAGCTTCTCCCATTCTCCGCTAAACGATCCCTTTAAAATCATACCAAACAGACAACATGACCTTTTTTGATGACTATCGGTCTTCGAAGCGGCTTGAGCTGGTTTATCTCTTGCGCTTTACATTCTTGTAAACGAACCACTTTTCATCGCCAGTAAGAAGGCGCTTCAAAAATGAATAACTTCTTTGGCGTTTGGCAAGCAAATCACAGTCGTTAATGTGGAATCATCACATTGACCGATCGCAAACGAGTCCTGGTAACGAAATTTTTTTAATTGTGGAGAGAGGGATTCTAGATCATTACAGAAGTTAACGTTTTTCCTGTTTCACATATAGTAATAAAAGTGAATAGCAAGTCAAAGTCAAGAGTTAAATCCAAAGACAAAACATTTTCATATAAAATATTATTTTTATAATCTAAATTGTACAGATAATACGATTTCCAAATATAGAGTGAAATATTCGTACTACCAGCGACCTCGTCCACCGCCTCGACCTCTACCACCGCCACCGCCACCACCTCCGCCTCGACCACCGCCGCCACCTCGTCCAAAACCTCCACCTCGTCCACCGCCTCCTCCTCGTTTGAAGCCCCCACCGCCCCCGCTGTTTCCGCCACGGAAGCCTCCTCCTCCGCGACCAAACCCACCACCACGACCACCTGCACCACCATTCAGACTATTTTTCTTACTACCCTTTTTTTGTGGTGGCTTAGGCAAAAATCTCGAGATGGGTAACAACTTTGCCGGATCTATGAACAGTTTTTGATGACTTTTAAAGCTTTTTGCGTTCAAATTTTCGGATAATTTGACAGTCACGGAATAATCACGTATGGTTCCAAATATTTCATCAATCTTCCCAATTTGTTCTTTATTTTCCAAATATATCGGGGCATTGAAATAAGGAACATCCTCAATTTCCACTTTACAAACGAGATCATCTTCACATGAATAACTGTAAGAACCTAGAGGTATAACGCGATCAGGTGGTCCTTGGTCGAATCCGCGGCCCCCGAAGCGATTACCACCGCCTCCGCCTCGTCCACCGCCACCGCGATTTCCTCCACGATTCCCACGAAAGCCTTTAAAATATATATATTTAATACACGAAATCGTACAACAATTTTAAATTTATACCTCCGCCACGTCCTCCTCTATTAAACGACATTTCCTCTTTATTTTTTATTGATAAATACAATTGTTTTCACGAATTTAGTTTTTCAGTAACACTGTATTTATTAAACACGTGTAGGGCCAGTATTGCCACACTTGTTTTAAATATTAAATTTCTGTCATATGTTTTTCAAGGTTGCCGGACTAAATATACAACTTAAAATCTGTGTTTTAAGGTGATGAATGTTGCCACTCTTACAACAAAATTTTCCATTTCAAAGAAAACGCTGTCGTTGAAAAAATCTTCATATTTTGTTTTAAAAATATGGCCACGCTCATTTTCCTCATAATTGTAAACACTCTCATAGTACAACTAGTGACTTCCTTTCCGCCCTTTCTTAGGGTCCGACCATAGTGAACAAAATTTGTCAAAAGTTAAGCAGTGACAGCAGTTGAGTAGTGGTAACGAGGAAATGAGCTGTTCTCTATTGTGATCATTTGAGCAATATTGGCTTTGCTCGATTCACATATGTAGTTTTGTACACATCTAACATTTCAATTACAATTTTTTATAATATAACCTGAAATTAAACTATTCAAAAGTTTATATATTTATAAACAATAGCATTCGACACTGATTTTGAGTTAGTTTAAAAATAGCATATTTTTTAATTACAACAAAATATAGATACCGGCAACCCTGTGTTTAAGAGAGCAGTCTCTTTAAGAGAACAAACTCGTTGCTACGGAAAAAATACAATTTTGGTAAGCATTCCGTAAGATACAATAGTAGCGGTGGTGTGTTTTATTTACATTGAAACAACAAAAATGCTCAAATAGGAACAACGAAAGAGCGACAGACTTCAAGCGACATCTGTCAAATATTAAAATACACACGTTCTTACGGACACAGTTATTTAGACAGCTGCACTTCTATATAATAACGTGTTTAATATTTGACAGATGTCGCTTGAAATTTCTTGCTCTCTATGTATTCAGCACATAATTGTAATTAGTGTAAATAATAATGTGCTATTAATTAAAATTTTTTAATTTTTAATCGGTAATCTTTTTAAAAATATAAGTGTTAGCAACATTGCATATTTCTCCTCTAGAGAAGCTAGGCGATCAGCACATTATCCATTTATGACGAAATTCATTTTCAGAACCAAACCGCCAAAGTAAACGGAATCGTGCCGATGAACTCATATGTAAAACTTCGAAATTAATACCAGATGTTTCAAGTGCTAGTAAACGGTCTCATATGACAAATCTTGCCTTGACTCACCTCGACCAATGACTTTGTTTCATCCACTTCGGTTTCCAGGGGCCCTCAATAATGTGGTGCATCCTAAATATCAAAATTGTAGGAACGCAATTATGTAAACCATTTTCGGTGTTGACGTTCTGTCAACAAATCTTCTCAGTCACATCACATCACATAATTTACACTTTGCTTGTACTGCATTTTTCTCCTTTTGATAGTAAAATAATAAAATATGCCGAAATGTGTTTTGATCTTCCATCTTAAATAGAGCACCAAATAAAAACTATTTAAAAATTTTTTAGAAATTGTTTACAAACAAGCCTTACCATATCATCTGTTGAAATATATAATATAACAGTAAAGCGGTTAAATGTAAAGTTGGCTGGGAAAAATTCAATAAGATCAGCTGTTGCCATCAAGCGAAATCACATAGTGCAAGATCCAACGAATAGCTTTAGGCTTGGCATATAGTTGGCTGAAGATATTTTTAGGTAAACAAATATAACGTAAAATTTTGTCATGTATACTTATTGTTGTTGTTGTGGTAAAATTTTGTATATTGGATTGTTTTTCAATATTTGCCTAGCTTTCTTCCCTTTGCATCACTAGGCACATATGTTACTAGACTTATTAAGAAATTAAAAGCAATACGCCTTATTTTTGTTTCAATGTTCTTTCGAAAAGCAGGAGGTGTCACTTATTGCATATTCTAAAATCTAAATTCCCGTTATAACTCAAAACTTATTGAAAATTATTAAAAAGTGCTGTTTAAGAAAAAAAAAAATTTAAATTTGCTAAAAAAAATTCTAAATAATTATAAGTCTCCAAGCTGTTTCAATATTGGACAACTTTTGGAAAAAAAATTATTTGGTGTTTATACATAATTTTTTTTTTATTAAACTTATACATCGTGAAGCTTAAAGCACAGTTTGTATTGGGCCTCTTTTAACGTATTATGTTTCTAAAAATCTAGAAAATATTTTTTTCTAATACTTATTCGAKTTAAAAACATATTTTCATACTTAAAAATATAAAAAAAAATATTCTGATTTAAAACACTTTTTAAAATTTTTTTTTGACTCCCAATAATTCATATTTTATCGATAAAAAAAATTTCATAACTTTTTTTTTAACTCTTAAGTTTTTTTTTTTTTTTTTTAATTCTCATAAATTCAGTGCAAGAAATCCATTTTGAACTTTAAAATGTGTATTTTTGTGTTTTTTTTCGAATACATTTTTTTTTACTTAAAACTGAAAAGAAGAAAATATTATTCAGATTAAAAACACTTTTTGCATATTTTTTGATGCTCAATAAATCATATTAGATATTTTTACTGTTTAAAAAATTGTGTTAATTTCTTTTAAATTCTTTTAATTTGGCAAATTTATTTTAATTTTTTGATTATCTTAATTTTTTTAAATTGTCGTAGTTTTTTAATACCTGTCTTCTCATTTACTTAAAACAACGGTGCCGGAAACCTTATTATAACAATAAGGTACCCAGTACATAACTTCATACTAACTAGTTACTAGTTACATATTAACTTAAATTCAACTATCAACGAGTTTAAAGGAATTGTTTAAGGAATTTATTTTCCAAAAACAAAAACATTTGTCTGTAAACATTTAGGAAGAAAAAAATATTCATCATTGCATCTTTAAAACACACAGAACTGTTAGCTTACATATAGTAACTCTTAAGCATTATTATTGTAAAGAGAATTCTTACATTACAAAAAGAAAATAATAATTATTATAACTAAGAGTAAAGAAACGCCTTTGTAACTATCAAGTAGTACTAGTTCGTAGACAACGTTGAATACCAATAAAAGTTAACTACATTTAAAACAGAAAACGAAATAAATTATATAAATAAAGAAATTAACGAAAATGGATTAATTATAGTGTTGTTGGTGGTGTTGTTGTTATTAACGATTTGGATTGATTTTCTTTGAGGGACTTCATATAATAATAAATAATTATAAATATAATTTCCTTAATCTATTGCAAGCTTAGCGCTCAGGAGCTCAGAGCTGGTAATGTTCACTAGGAAAGAGAGAATTCCAGGATATTAGACTGTCCATACAAGAGAAAGCAATCTACTTGGGGCTAATCTTAGACATGAAGCCTAACATGAGGACTGACACCTAGTAGAACTCATTTACCCTATAAAAGAGTTGTAAGGTCGATTATGACATCTGATGGCCAATAACGAGCTTAGCTGTATGGAAAGCATACAAAGAACAGGTAGTAYATATGCATCGGTGGAGCGCTCGGGCACTAAACTTTTTTTTACATTTGCTGCCCACAGAAATCAATTTTTAGACGTGAGCACTTCAGTATCTTTCAAGCGGATATCATAGCAAATTCGAAAGGCTTCTTGTTTTGACAAAGAATGTACGTAAAACAAGAAACGTGCTGTGACCAATGCGAGAAGGGTGTTAGATGAGTAGGGTCAGTGTAGCAAGCAAAGAGGTGGTCAGTGTCATGCGGAAACTCATTGCGCGCAGGACATATGTTAATCATATCGGGTTATATTCTGGATAAGTAGGAGTTTAACCTGATACTGGATCCATAACGAAGCTGCGCAAGGGTCTCTTTTCTCGCGGCAACTCGAGCTCTTCCCCTGGTGGTGGTTCGATTCCAAGTATGCCATTCACTGAGACAGAGTCGGCGAAGGTGTTGATGGCTCCACTGTGAAGGGTGGTCAGTGCTTGTCCGAAGTTAGTTACGTCCAAAGTCTGGTCGGCGTATTTTTTTTATGTCGTCCAAGTAGTTGGGAAGTGACCACTTGATGCTCCTAGGAGGCGTTTACCTCTAAACAGATGACTGCAGGTATGGTTTCTGCAAAAGCAAACCAGCAGGAACTGCTTCGAGAGGTGTTCATTATGATCCTTAACTGGGAGTCCCCTATGCAGGTGTTCGATAGGAGACATCAAGAGGCATCCTGTCGAAGTTCGGAGTGTAGGTTCTGACAAGTCGGGGGCTTCATCGTCTGCGTCCATATTGAGTTTCCAACAACGTTTCTTTGTGCTTTCTCCAAACGCTGCATGCTAGCGACTTGAGATTTCGTTGTGGCTCCAAGGTATGGCAATAATTGCGGTCGTATGCAGAGTGAAGGAGCACATATCAAAAGTCTCAACTAAAATTTTAGGATTATTGACAGTCGAAATGGCATTATGTCGATGTGAATGGGCATAGTGCGGAATTTTTGCTTTGTGAGATACTCAACTGCTGGGAACTATGTCAACTTGCAGAATTTGTCAGTTTGGTGTGAATCCTTCCAGAATACTCAAGAAAAATTCAAATGTAACCTTTCGGTCCGCTTAAGACCATGATTCAGCAAGCGCCTTAGTCCAAGCGAAAATCCCAATGCAATTTCGTCAATACTATCAAATGAGAAAAAATGTCCGCCCGGTGAGTTTATGACCTTATGGACCAGCTAACTTTCAGAACTATAGTGCAAGAAAAGTGAAATGAAAAAATCACATGAATGAATGATGATGGAGCTTATAGACAGATGGCACCAGTCTTAGGTCAAATCATCTTGGTTATTGCATATCGATACATTGTTTATGAAGCTTGTGAGCCGAAAATTAGCTTTCGGCGAAAAACGGATCGGTCTCATACAAACCCTTATAATTTTACCGAAATTAAACGAAAATACAGTTTTTTTTGGTTTAAATAAGTTTTTCATTTATTTTTGTTGACAAATTTTACACAATAATTCATTTCAAATGTTCGCTTTCACATTTTTTTTATGCTTAGTATGCGAAGGACATGTGTGTTTGAGTTCATTTTCACTAATTTTTCTTGTCTTAATTCAATACAAATTGCATTTAGTTACTAGAATGTAGATACTTTGTGCTTACTCAATTAAACTAAAAGTATACAATATCAAAATTTCCAGCTTAAATACATTAAGTACATAAAAAATGCAAATACAAAACGATAATAGCAATTACCGTTAGTCGAGGAAATAAAGTAGTGGGCAGCATTATGCCATTAAAGCTAGATATTAATTTATATAGTAGAAAATATTTCTCAAAACTAACGATTAGACTTACTTAAAATAAAATATACGAGTCGTATTATGTATTAGTATACATAGTACATAACTGTTTATTAGAGAATATATGAATTTATAAAGCTAAATGTTATCAACAAATGAGTGAAGACGAAAATGACTGGAGTGGAGAGAGTCTGCTGTATGAGCTAGTGAACGAGGTGAGTTAGCGTAAATATTGAAATGGTGGGTATTGTTGTTGTTTTGCTGCTGTCGTCGGACAGGCGTTGCAACTAGACGACTTAATTAACGATTATTTAGATTTAAAAAATATTTATTTATAACGACTAAACGAAAATGTAGCCTTATTGCTATGCTTCTGGGTATGTATGTGAGTGTGTGTGTGTCGCTTACGTAATAACCATCACCGTTGATTGCACAATAAACCCGATTATTTCAAATAAATTATGAGTTGCGTACATATATACAGCGCTAGAGCATGGGAGAGAGCGACACGTGCAAACACCAATTTTTGAAATGGAGTTTGGA